CCTTGTGATAGTAGTTGTCATCCTAATAACTAAATGTAAAAATTTTATGTAACGCTTTTAACATTTAATTAATTTACGATGCGCTGTGTTATGGATAATTCTTAAGTGACTTAAATTCCAAAACAATCTACTCGATAAAAATAGTCTTGAATCCAATTAAATTGAATTTGAATTTTTTAACAATTTGAATACATTTTAAAATTCTATTATAACCTATGTTTATTTAAAATTAACCTAATTGGATTCTAAATCTGCAATAATTCCATTCCAACGTACAACATATACAGTATATTAAAATATTTTAAATCCTCAAATTTCACAAAAAATTTTTTTAATATTAAACCTTAAAATTAGTCGCATGATTCAACATTTTAACACCATCAACTTCACCGATCTTTCAAATCTATGAACTCTAAGATGTTTACGCATATCATTTGTACTTAGGACATCCTGGTTTTTCACCGGTGCGTGAATTAGTGTGAATTCTGAGGAAACTTGGGCGCAAAATCTCTTTGAATGAAAAATAAAGGGTTGAGAACGATTTTCACATAAATAACTACTTTGAGATGCTTGGTTATTAAGATTCTTTGAGGAAATATTTTGAAGAAGCAATGCTTGTGAAAACTGACGCATTCAATCGTGGAAGAATATTTCTAATAGTTTGTTTTCAATTAAACAGTTAAATTGCAAGAATATTAGTAATAGGATAAGGGTAGCATTGTTGAATTGAGAAGAATTTATTTGCATGGGAGTTGACGAATAATCGTCAGAAAGTCTTGCACAACAACTACAGACACCTGCTGGAAGGTATATCTTTACTCTTGTTTTGATGTTGGGCGTCGTATGATTCAAAGGAATTTTTGATAATTGTCATATCCGGCAATTCTGGAGTGGAAGGTAAATATTCAATGATGATAAGAAGGAAATGACGTGATTTGTTATGAGCATTGAGTGCAACTAGATGATGAGCATCTGTTGATTGTGGAGATATGGAAGGAAAGCTTGGAGATTAGTGTGACAGGTGATGATGAATGAGAGAATATGATGAACTCAAAATCATCTGAGAAAGTTAATTGAATGGTTGATTAATTAAAGAGAAAAAAGATTTGTTTTTTTTATGAAATCGAAAAATCCAAGCAAAAAAAAAAAAAAATTACTTTAAAAATAAAACGAGCTTAAATGAAAATTTAATTTGTACGGTGAGCAACTATAAAGTTATTGGGCGTTTCTAACCGATTTGGAAAAGTTTGTAACAGTGCATTTGTAATAAAAATATCCTGAATCGTTGAGTATTAGCAGAAACGAAGTCTCCGCTTTACACATGCGGATCTAGTAAACACCTCGTGAATTTAATATAGTGATCGGGTATTTTTACTAAACCCCGTGACCTCAATCTAGCGTTTTTTTATTGCGTTAATAGTTTCATCACTAGAGATGTAGATGTAACTCCATAGCGATAGTTACCGACACTGCATGCATACATACGTACGTAAATAGCATATTGGATCCATAAAGTTTCTATCGTAGGATTCGAATAAAAAAATTTTTTAATATATCTAAATTTAAACCAAATGAAAAATTCACACCAAATTTTAGAATCCAAATGAAAAATTCGCACCAAATTCAGAATCCAAATAAAGTTTTTTTTAATATATCCAAATTTAGATCCAAATAAAACTTTTTTGGGACACTTCAAGAACAAGGAACCCAGTGATCATCACGTCACGTGAATTGCAATGACGTCATTTGTTTACTAGCACTAGTAAATCGGCCCAAACTATACCATCACCTAAGCCTAACACTAACCCTAACTTAGGCCGGAGTGATAATCATGGGATGTGATAATCATGAAGATATCCCTGGGTTACTTGTTCTTGAAACTACCCAATTTTTTAATGTTAAATTTCATGTATATACTACTTATTTTAATGACAGTCATTAGTAATTAAATCAGAAAATTTTTTATAAATATGAAGCCATTCTCGTCTCGCATCATCTTTCAAAGTTTAATTTTTCTTTATATTAAATAAATTATCTTTTTTTTTTTTTAACCATACAGTATATGCTTTTAAAATATTTTTCATTGTTGTAGCTACCATCTATTTTCATATCTATGTCTCGTTCAAGTCAACAAAAATGCCGTTACGCGACTAACGCATGTACTAACTGTCGAAAAAGCTACTTGCACAAATTGAGCATCATGCAATATTAGGTGTATTTATATTAAACCAATTAAAAAACGAGGGCCGAAAGTTGCCAGTGGATCAACTGACGTTTTTGAAAGTAAATTCGATTTAGCCGCAAGTATTGAACAGGAACACGCATTAACATTAACTCAATTCGGCGCACCCATTCCCCTCTACCTCAACCATAACGAAGAATTTCAACCAATTCAAACCGGTTTCTTTTCGCATAATAATACAAATTATATTATACTAAACAATAGCACACCCGTTGATTTCAAATTACTGTGATTGGCAGATGATCGCCAAAATCTTAAAATTTCCTTAAATTCTTCATTTTTTTAAACAATTATCACACAAAAAGTCACTATTCCAAAGATTTCTTGTCAATTTCCAATTCTTTAGTATAACATCCATTAGTGTACTAGAACTTGCTTTGTTTAGCCAAGTGGTTATAAAAATTTTCTGTTTTTTTTTTTTAATTTTTCTTATGTATTTTTAGATCGCTAGTGTTGAAAATTAAAATTGGTTCAAATTAATTAATAAATAAGGTAGCTGCGAGATGCCGTCGCACCAAAAACTAGAAACAGGAGTTTGAACACACTTTGGAACATTAATAAAAAATGTTGGGAAGGTAATTTTTACATATAAACCTATCT